TGGCACAGAGCCGAGGTCAAGTTTAATCCTGTCAGCAAAGTGAAGCCTATGACAGCATCTCAGAGGCCAGGGATGTCAGAGCTCTTCTATGTCTCCCATCCCTGTGTTTCATCTCACATAGTCAGAGGAAAAAGATGAGGTAAAAGAGGAGAAAAACCATTAGAGGAACTGACTATCTTATGAGCTGTTATATCACTTGAGTGACCACAATGGGAGGGGAAAAAACCGTTCAGCAATATATGAGACAGACTTGCAATGTGAATGAACTGGACTTATTAGATCCAGACAGGGTGAACAGTATGAAGGGTTTCCCAGATGATGCTAAGGAGATGGGAATGCAGCAGAACACGGTAGAAGACGTGTGGCGGAGACCTAAGACATGTCACATTTGTGTTCCGGCAGTTAGGAGACTGGGACAGTCTCAGTAAATCTTATGCTACTTCTGGCCTCGCTCTTACAGTAGAGCTTGAATTGTTTGTCAACACACTGGGGACTTTAGCTCAGACAACATGGCTGGATTTCATGAAGTACTCTGCAAATTTTGCATGCTTCATTCTACTGTTAAAGAAATTATACTTTTGTAATTTGTGGATGTTCAGAATGTGACTCACATTAAATCACTGCAATTCTGAAATACTTTGTCAGTGGTCTTATTTTAACGGCAAGCGTCTGCTACTTTTCACCATTTTCACAAGATCTTCCCAATGATGATGGTAGATTTTCTTTGGTTTCATACTACATGGTTAAAAGAAAATTTGACGAAAAAAAAATTGAAGTACTTGCCAATGTAGAGTCAACTTTTATTTCTTAAGAGGAAAAAATTTATATTCTTCCACCCAAGATACTATTAAAAAGCAATAAAACTGAAGGGAGATTTATACTTTATTCCACTGTTAAGAACCATCTCCATAAAGAAGGAATGAATGCAATCTCAGCATTTATCATACTTAAGAGTATAGCATAAGAATGACTTGAGATGATCAGTAATGTCACGGGAATCAGAAAGCAAGCAGCGGAGGAGATTAAAAGTAGTAAAGAGGTTAACTTCTTCATTAGCTGATTGCAGCGATGGGAGGTCTGTCCAAACAGCAGAGTCCACATTCCTTGTGATGTCAGGATCAAACTGTCACAAAATGAGAAATATTTATTACTTCTTTTAATAGATTTTATCAATGTTTCTTTTACTTGATCAACTCAGATTTGGGGAAGAGAGATTAGTGCACACTTTCACTAATGGTGTAAGTTTTCATGTATTCTGGTCAAGATTTCATGACACTGTTAGCCATCAAAGGCATCTGAGAAAGACATTTGGCATTTGTCTTTTGCATAAGTGATTGCAGGGAAAGGATATTCCTTCCCCAATAGAGAAGGGCATGACCACAAATTGGCTTCTTGAATGTATACATTATATAACCAAGGCACATTGTTGAGGCTACTTTATAGTCCTTAATTTAAAGAACTTTAACATTTCTTGAATCATTCTTTTTTTTTTGTTTTTTTTTTTTTGGTTTTTCTCCGGTACCGGGAACC